CTGCTGACCCCTCCTCTCCTGTGCCTCCCGTACCGCCTGCTCTTCCACGTGGTGTCGGTGTCCCGCGGTGTTACCTGCTCTGAGTGAGGGTCTGATTTCAAAGTTGCTGTTAGGTGTGGTCATGGTTCCATGCAGACTTTTTTTTTTTTTTTTTTTTTTTTTTTTTTTTCTCCCTCTTGTCCTTTGGTCACAGCTGGGCTCTAGAAGTTTGGATTAGGTCCCTGATGGTCGCTCTCTCCTCTCCAGGTTGCACTACAAAGCTGGGCATGGAAGGGGGCGCCATTGAGGACTCACAGATTTCTGCCTCGTCTATGTATGTGAGTTTCCTGGGCTTGCAGCGCTGGGGCCCGCAGCTGGCTCGCCTGCACCGCACTGGCATCGTCAACGCGTGGACATCCAGCAACTATGACCCGAAACCCTGGATCCAGGTGGGAGAAAGATACAGGGCAGAGTGATAGGGAAGACAGGGTGAACGCGGCTGCATTGTGGGGCTCAGAACCTGGTCCATGCAGGATGATAGATGGCCATAGTGAAGTGTCCATGTATGGAGGGCATCCTTGGGCCTGGCGCAGGTGGGCAGAGTATGAGGACAGATGGCCTTTGGTGGAGGGGCTTGGGTACCCACAGGCCTCTGGAGGTCTTGACACTCACGGGCTATTTAGAGACAGGCTCCGGAACCTCAGAGGAGAAAGCCAGCTCCTCGGAGGAGGAACTAGTGAGCTAGCCAGTTGAATCTGGGTGGAAAGAGCTGGATGATGAGGGAACTACCTTTCTCACCCCGGCCGGGGTCCAGGTGAACCTTCTGCGGAAGATGCGGGTGTCGGGTGTGATGACGCAGGGCGCCAGCCGCGGGGGGAGGGCAGAATACCTGAAGACCTTCAAGGTGGCCTATAGCCTCGATGGACGCAAGTTCGAGTTTATCCAGGATGCAGCTGGATCTGGAGACAAGGTGGGCCTGAAGAGGGGCTACTGAAGTCAGCACCCCTAAGCGTCCAGCACGGACCGAGAAGCAAGAGCACCCTGAGTGATGGGGTTGAGGTGAATCTTCAGGTGTCCCTTGGTACCTAGAAATGGACAGACCCAGATTGTGTTCATGTTCTCCGGTGACAGGACGTAACCTCACCTGATAGATAAGAACAGAGACTCACCGTAGTGCCATGACCTGGTGAGAGTGGCGGTTGTGGCGGAGCTGGGCTTCATTCTGAACTTTTCAGGGCTTACGGTATTCAGTTGTGAAGATACAGTTGCTAAGTGGGCAGCATTTTATGATGGCCTCTCAGGCCTGAAGAGGAAGAGGTCCAGGAGCAGGCTGGCAAACCCGCTTCCTCCCCTGGTCCTACCCATTCCCTTCTAGGAGTTTGTGGGGAACGTGGACAACGATGGCCTGAAGGTGAACATGTTCAGCCCCGCTCTGGAGGCACAGTACATACGGCTCTACCCCGTCTCATGGTACCGAGCCTGCACCCTTCGCTTCGAGCTCCTGGGCTGTGAGTTGCATGGTGAGTGCTGGGGTGTGGCCTTCTCTGTCCCTACTTGGTGAGCTGCTCAGGGGCTGCTGTGGAGAGTGTCCCACAGAGTCATGCCCAGGTGTCCCGCTTGTGCGTCGTTGCTCTGAGCGTTTTGGACGGTCGTTTCGCTTCTCAGTGTTTCTGCTTATTTTGGTTCCTGGTGCTTCTGGAACAGGCCGTGAATTCCACAATTGCAGGCCATTGTTTTCTTTGCCGCTGTGTTCCCAGGGCCTCAGACACGTGGGCGCTTAGTAAATCTTTGATGAGGGGGTGAATGAATGAATGAATGAATGAATGAAAGGACCCCGAGCGTCTGCCACCTGCACTGAGCAGCCATGCAGGCGCTTCTAGGAGAGCTTGGTGCTTCTACAGACAGGGGACAGGTTGCTGCTGAGCCTAGGAGATTACCCACCGGAGAGGTCGAGCTGACCCATATTGCTGTCTAGTTCAGGCCCCCTCTCTCTTTGGAGGCCTGTTTCTCTTTGCAGCCACAGTGCCACCTGCTGGCCACCCGGGGTAACTGTAGTTCTGACTCTTGCTGGACTGCAGGGCTCATCATCTTTATAGATCTGCTGGTATGCCGGGCTGCGCCTCCTTTCCCTGTCCGTGGCACTGTTTCCTGGTACTTCATTTTCGATACCACCCAGCACCACGCAGACTGAGTTCTGCCTCTCAGTAGTTTTTTTTTTTTCTTCCCCAAGTGCTGGCAACTCAGGGCTTTGTGAATGCCAGGCACACGCCCCACCATTGATCTGTACCCAAACCCTGGCATTTTGTTTTGTTTTTGAGAGAAGGTCTTTTATATATAGTACCACATGTCCTTGAATTCACTCTGTAGACCAGGCTGGCCTGGAACTCACAGAGATCTGCCTGCCTCTGCCTCCTGAGTGCTGGGATTAAAAGTGTGTGCCATTAATCTCTCCGCTCCCTTTAAGGATGGATTTAAACTAGTATGCTCCTGTTACCAAACTTGGGGTCACAGTCTGTACCACAAGAAGCCAGACTTGGCCACGTGTCTTCAGGAAGCCGATTGAAATGGCCAAGTTAATAGTAAAAAGTGGGAAGAGATTTATTTATTGGCCGTATGAGGGAAGATGGGCAGAGATCCAGTGATCCCCTCAGGTCCATCTTTGGAGTCCTGAAGTGAGTTTGAGGTTTCACTAGAGGGCCGGTGGCACGCACACCTAAGCAGTCTTGAGGCCTGGACCTGCCCACCGTTGACTCATCATTGTCTGGGCTTCTGTCTCGTTCTGGTCTGACAGCTGTTAGGATGTGTAAAATCTTTTTCAGGGAGGCACACCCCAGCTCATGCCGCTTTCTTCTCCCAGCATGGGATTCCTGGGGAAGCTTGGCGTTTCTTGGTGTCCATTGTGCAATAGTCCAGTAGTCAGATGGAGAGACCCGTGTTCTTCCGAATGCCATCTCTACCAGGAAGCTTATCTTTCTCCCCGGGTCTTTTCCCTCTTGCGTCATGTGACTTAGTGTCTGGCAAAGGATGGAGCCAGGTCTGGCCTGAGCCCTTATGTTCTCAAAGTTGCCAGGGTAGCGAAGCCATGAGTGGTTTAAGGCCTGGGGGGGGGGAGGGGGGGAGGGCAGGCCCAGCCTCACAGCAGTGAGCATGGCTCTGTCATTTGCCTTGCTCCAGGCCTGGCCCATCTTTCTCTGTAACTGGCCTGTCAGCTGGAGAATGGTAACGCATGAGGGCCCGCCCCCCCCCCCCCCAGTACATGCAGGTGGGTACATGAGGCCCAGGTGTCCTGGGAATCCACAAGGCGACCCATACCAGGACTGTTATGTTTAGCAGACAGTAACTTTGGTGACTTACCTTGAATTTAAACATTTCCTAAGTTCCCTCTGAATATCTAGATTGAAGGAACCGTACAAGTGAGACCTTTGACCTCATGAAATGTGCCTTTTCTCAAGGGAGTCAGAGGTGAGGTTAGCAAATCAAAGGAAGGGCAGGAGCTGGGCAAGATGGCTCAGTGGTTGAAAGCACCTGCTGCTTTTCTGGAGGACCTGGGTTTGGTTTCTGGCACCGACATCAGGTGGCTCACACCATGCGTAGGGCCAGTGCTGGTGGATCCAGGGCTCTCATCCGGCCTCCCTGGGTACTGTACACATGCAGTGCTTATACCTACACCCAAATAAACATGGTGCTTATACCTACACCCAGGCCCCCACACACAAATAAACATGGTGCTTATACCTACACCCAGGCCCCCCCACACACATACAAATAAACACGATGCTTATACATAGCCTGGGGCACACACAACAAACAAATAAGTAAATGAATAAAAGGGAGAGGTTGGCTAGCAGCAAGAACCCGGAGGAGGACGGAGGAGGACGTGGTGGTGATGGGGTTAGTGTGGGGATTCTGCAGCTGGAGAGCCAGTCTTGGGGAGATCTTGGAAAAAAGTGTTCTAGATGGAGAATTGCAAGGACAAAGGTTTAGCTTGTGGGAGGATGAAAGAAATCCAGGGGCTCGCTCCTAGAGTGTGCAGGGAGGCTTGGAGAGTGGTGAGCTCCATTGGGCCAGCGTTTCAGCATCATCATCTAACTCTACCCTGGACCTGCTGGGACACAATTTTAGTTTCATTTAATTTCCAGTACGAGTGATTAAAGCCAGGGCAGACACTCTGCTACTGAGTTACATCCCCGGAATGTCTCTCTTTAATTTTTCTGAGACAGGGTCTTGCTATTCAGCCCAGGTTGGCCTGATCTCACAACTCTTCTGCCTCAGCTTGCCGAGTGCTAGGATCACAGAAACGCACACCAGGTCTGGCCTGCTTGTTTTTGAGATCTCCTGGGATGTCTGGGGAGATCTCCAGAGGGCCTCACGTCGCGGAGGAGGAAGAGGCTAACTCACAGAGAGGCCAAGGACGTCTGCATTTCCCAAGGCCATAGTCTGCAGTTTGCCTTCCCGGAGGCCCTGGGCAGGGGTGGTTGTACAGGGTACACCCCAAGGAGATGAGGAGAATGGCCTCTGCAAAGCAACTCCGGGCAGTGATCACCTCAGAATGTCCCTGTCCTGGATGCAAAGGATGAATGAGCTCACGGCCCAGTAACCTCTGTGGAAGCAGGGTGATGGCTGCCTGGCCTCTGCCTTCTGTAGGGGATGGCTCAGCAGTCACCTTCAGTATGATTGGGAGGAAAATGGCAGGCAGGCAGACGTCTGAGGGACAGTGAGGGAACGGACTTCTAAGATGGAAGCGTGACTCTTAGCCTTCCCCCTCCACGCCCCCCACTCTTCAGCTCTTCAGGTAACACACAGTTGTGGGGTGGGTGGGGATGCGCCCGGATAGGAGACACACATCATCCTCCCAGGAGTTTTACTTCCTGCTCAGCCCCTGTCTGTTCCTTCCTGAGAGTGACCCTGGGGGCTGAGTGAAGGAACAATGGCCGCTCTCTGGGTATCCACACCAGCAAGCCAGAAACATTGGGGTGTGCCAAGGTCCTTCACTGGCTCTTCGGGAACGCTTTCAGGAAGGACACAGAAGCAGCCCCGAACTCCAAGACTTCCTGGGCCTCACTAGGAGGGTTTGGTGGCCCCACACAGGTCCTAGCACGGGGGGATGATCTCACGTTTGGGGTGGTGGTCGCCATCACGTGTGTGAGGCGTGGGCACAGCGCGCAGTGCCTCTCTGCCTCAAGTTTCTCACGGACAGAATGAGGTGGCTGATGGCTGCTTGTTCAGTGCGTTCTGTGGCGAGAGGAAATCCACGATGGCAGGAAGCCCCTAGACATGTGAGGCGTCTTGACTTACTCACCTGTGTTCAGAGAGAAAGGGAGGGGGCACTGTGAGTCCGGCCAGGTCGGGAGGTCTCGGGTGGTCTCGGGTGGTCCTCTAGGTGCCAGTTGGGGTGGGGTGGCGCTTGGAGCTGAGTCCAGCCGACTGTAGTGAAGAAACGGTGTGGGGTAAGCAAGGGTTAGACCGCAGTTGGTCTTGGAAGACAAACAGGACATCCTTTGTCCAGGAAGATGCCAAGCTGGGCATGGTGGTCCAGTCCCTGCTGTTTGGGAAGCCGAGGCTAGAGGAGCTTTTGGTTTTTCCGGGTAGGGTTTCTTCTCTGTGTAGCCCTGGCCGTCCTGGAAACCGGAGAACCTCTTGAGCCCAGGGGTTCCAAGGCCAGTCTGGGCAGTGCAGCCAGACCCAGCTCAAACACCCAAGTCAGAAGCTGGCTTGTCACTCCGTAGGTGCTTAGGAGAACCGTGTGTTCTGTCTCCAGCACCGGAGAGCCCGGATGTGGCGGTGCATGCCCGTCCTTTCTTCACTCAGGAGGTGTAGGTGAGGATCAGATGTTCCGGGTCCTCCTTGACTGCATAGCGAGTGTAAGCCCGCCCGCCCTGCTGCCAGCAGCAGGAGAAGGGAATGGAATCCCACCTCAGAAACCCAGCCCAACCCAAACTAAAGGCCTCGGCCACTGCCCTTCCTCCTTTATTGCCCCTGCCTACACATACTGGTGACAGTCCCTTTTGCCCACAGGATGTTCTGAGCCCCTGGGCTTGAAGAATAACTCGATTCCTGACAGCCAGATAACAGCCTCCAGCACCTACAGGACTTGGAACGTGCCTGCCTTTGGCTGGTACCCCCACTTTGGGCGGCTGGACAAGCAGGGCAAGATCAATGCCTGGACTGCCCAGAGCAACAATGACAAACAGTGGCTGCAGGTGGGAGCGGGTGGGGCTTGTGACCTCTGCCCACCCCACCTTCCTTCCGCTCTGCAAGGGCTCCCCCCCCCCCAGCCTAGACTGTCTTTGCTTTTTCTCTTCTTTCCTTCTGTGCTGCTTTTTCCTTGATCCTGCTTCCACCAAGGCCCCCAAGTGGAGAAGGGGTGTGAATGTACACACACACACACACACACACACACACACACGCACGCACGCACGCACGCACGCACGCACGCACGCACGCACGCGCTCACTCACATGCATGCACACTCTCGCAGGAGTAGCACCAACCCTTATCAGCTGCCACACGGTTGGCAAAGCTTACCTGTGGACAGCAGGGCAGGATGGCAGAGGGCACGCTAGCACCTCACTCACCACTTGAGCAAAGCCCAGGTGTCCTCCCTCTTGGTGTAACTGGGAAATCTCAGAGGGGTTGGAAAAACCAGGGGTAAGGGGTTGCAGATGGAGAAATTTGAGTCCTGGAAGATTGTGTGGGGCTCACCTGCTGGTCGGGGGTGAACTGGGCTTGGGGACAGCCTGTCCAGGGGTCAGTTCCTAGGGACAAACACTTGCCTGTGGGTCCGGGTGCTCCGTCAGGCTTGGTTTCATTAGGAGCCACCTGCTCTTGGGCTCTCTCTCAGTACCACAGAAGGTTCCAGGCTGCCTGGCGGGTTTCAGAGGCAGTTCCCACCCCTGTAGGCTGTGGCCTCTTAGCTTGCTCATCATACCCCAGTATACCCATAAGGCATGAGCTGGCGGAGTTGGACTGGACCTTTGAAATACACTTCACTGAGTTTTATTGGAGTTAAACTGGAGTTCAGTGTGTCAACGTATATTATTTATGCACTTTTATATATTTTTTACATTACATTTTTTGTGGTAGATAGAACCCAGGGCTTGGGTGTGATAGACCAGTGTTCTGCCACTAAACTATAGCCTCCATTTTGATATTTTGAGACAGGGTGTTGCTATGTAGCCCAGGCTGGCCTTCAACTCCATCCTCAGTCTCCTGAGTGCTGGGGTGACAGGCGGGTACCACCATACATGGTTTTATGTTCAATTTATGGGTGAGTGTCTTAGTTAGGGTTACTGTTGCTGTGATGAAACATTGTGACCAAAAAAAGCAAATTGGGAAGGTTTATTTGGCTTGTCCTTCCACATCACTGTTCATCACTGAAGGAAGTCGGGACAGGAACTCAAACAGGGCAGGAACCTGGAGACAGGAGCTGATGCAGTGACCACGGAGGGGTGCTGCTTATTGGCTTGCTCCTTATGGCTTGCTCAGCCTGCTTTCTTATAGAATTCAGGACCACTGGCCCAGGGATGGCACCACCCACAATGGACTGGGGCCTCCCCCATCAATCACTAATTAAGAAAATGCCTTATAGCTGGGTTTTGTGGTGGCATTTTCTCAATTGAGGTTCCCTCTTTTCAGATAACTCGAGCTGTGTCTAGTTGACTTAAGACTAGCGAGCACAATGAGGAGCATCTGCCTTTACACCTTCCTGAAGACGCTCCAAGCTAGAACAGTGTTTTTCTGTAGGTTGACCTGGGCACTGAGAAGGAAGTGACCGGAATCATCACCCAGGGGGCCCGTGACTTTGGCAACTTCCAGTACGTGGCATCCTACAAGGTGGCCTACAGTAATGACGGTGTGCAGTGGACCGTGTATGAGGAACAAGGGATCAGCAAGGTGGGTGTCCTGTCTGGATGCAATTCCTGGGGAGCTAGGGGGTACTGAGGGGGTGGGGAGGGGCCCGGCTGTGGGGTACTCCTGACATGCCGATGGTTTTCAGGTCTTCCAAGGCAACTCGGACAACAACACGCACAAGAAGAACATTTTTGAGACCCCCTTCAGGGCCCGCTACGTGCGTGTCCTTCCGGTGTCCTGGCATAACCGCATCACTCTGCGCCTGGAGCTGCTAGGCTGTTAGTGCTCGGTCCTTCCAGCCCGAACGACCGACTGGAAGGGCCAGAGGCTGAGTCCTCCCAGCCCTGCCTCCTGGGCCCTGCTGCCTTCTGTGTGTGGCTGACTGCCTTCTCAGCCCTTCCTCCTGATTGTACTGGGGCCGGAAGCAGGAGGCGGGACAGGGGGTCAGACTTGCCCTTCACCCTTGTCCTCCCTCACCCTGCAGCCTCCACAGGCCTCCCGCTAGCCCCTTTTCTCAGGCGTTCTGGGGGAGTTGGATAGGTCTGAGATGAAGAGGGAAGAAGAGTCAAGTCCGGGTCTGTGAACTGTATCTCTACCAACTGCCCCAAGTCCTAAACTCCCTGCCAGGGCTTGACTCAAGACTGCAGGGACCCCTGGTTCCCCGCCCCTCTCTGCACACCACACATTCCCCCCCCCCCCCCCCCGTGTTCCATTCCAGGCCTCCAGGAAGAGGAGGCCCATGCCTGCTTGCTGCCCCTCGGGTCGTCAGCTGCTGAGACCCCTCCTGACCCTTGCTCTGGAGCCTCAGATGACAAGGGGACTGGGAGGGGAGGGACAGGTGGGCTCTGGCTGGTTGGCTAAGCTGGATGCGGGGCCTCTGCTGGCTTGCTACCCAAGCTGATAGGCAGACTCCAAAATACATTTGTGTTCGCCACTGGGACTTCTGAGCTTCCGAATCATTGCCCTGTCCAAGCCAGACCACCTGGTACTGTTCTCCGCCCCCGCCCCTAACCCTGCCCTCCAGTGCCCACAGTACTCCTGTGCCACTTGCCAGACTGCAAATAGATCAAGAGGAGGAGTGGGAGACGGGTGGGGTTAGGAGCAGGCTTCCCTCGCCTCCACGCCTGACTCACATCTTCCCCTGTCTCTACCTCCATGCTGCTCTGGGTCTGGCCTACAGCTGCCACTTGGTGCAGGGCCAGGGAGGGCCTGGCAGAGAGGTGGCTCCTGTGAATGCCCCTGCTCCCTTCCCACACCAAGAAGGCAGGCCAGGCCTGGCTGCTGGTTTCTCCTTCGGCAGTTTCCATTTTCTTTGTAATGCTAGTGCTGGCCTGGAAAAGTTTTTAAAAACCCAGTGAACTTGGCTTTCAGAGAACGAGGGCCCTGGTGGGCTGGGCAGGGAGCAGTGTGGAAGGGGTAAGGCCGTCGCCAACTAGGGATTGTGGTCAAGAGCATGCCATTTCCCAGAGGCCACTGGTGGGAGGCAAGGGTTCTGCTCTGCGTGGGGCTATGGGAAGTGGCCAGCAGGAGCTATGCTGGCCCGTGCCCTGCTCATCTGGGGAGGGGTGGCTAGCTGGCTGGGAAAAGGCGGAATGAAATCACCCTGGTTCTCAAGATCTGCAGCCCAGCCAAGCTTCAGGGGCCACACTAGGGCTCCCCAGGGAGCAAGAGGGCCGCTACTCACCCGGAAGTGCTTCTTCCGGAGAGCTGCCCACTGTTGCCAGGGCCTCTTGTGGGTAGGTCAGAGTAAGAGGCTCAGTGGTGTTCTCCCCATGAAAGAGGGACGGGAGATTGCTCAACCCTGAGGGCATCTGAGCCTGACCCTGCTGCTTGAGCGGGTCACTGGAGTTGGGATTGAATTCAGAATCGAGTCTTTCTGGGGTTTATTGGCCTCAGGTCCTCCCTCCTCAGGGCACTCCCCCAGGGCCCTGCTCTAGCCTTCCTGGGGACCAGCGGATGATGGGAGAAGCATCCTTTCTGACACTGCCTGGGATGGCTTTGCGTCCTGGGAACTCACTATACAGGAGACGCAATGTCAGATCACACAGCCATTTCTGTGGGCCAGTCTTTTGGCTGGGCTGCCGGCTGGGTGGGTGGGTGGGTGCATGGTAGCACAAGCCCCCCACCTGGTGTGGAGACTAGTATGGCCCAGGCCTGTTTCTTGGTCCCTTTCCTAGCTCTGTAGCCTTGCACGTATTGACCGCAGCCTTGAGGAAGTCTGCTTTCTGGGACCCTCGCCTGGAGTCCCTCACTTGGAGTTCTGCACTCTAGACAACCAGACCTGATAATTCTCTCTGCCCACTGAACCACCCTATCACATGCTCTGACAATAGACCCTTCCAGATGACCACGAGTCTGCTCCCACCAGAGGCTGTCGGCACCTACCCTGCCTCTGCCAGGGGTCTAGGCTCCGTTCTTTCCCTAGTTACAATGTGGTAGAGTGACCAGGCGCTTAAAGCCTCGAGGCAGACGAACATGGTTCCTATCCTAGCTCTGAGTGACACTGGGCCTCTGGGCCTCTACAAAACGGAAATAAGACTGAGTCTGTGACATTGCTGGGACAAAGACTACGCAGAGCATGGATGCCAAGCCTGGCCCATCCATAGCCTCAGAGGCTTGAGGGAGGTTCCTCATTGCTATTTGTATCCCGTTTGTTTCCTATCAGTCCGTCCAGGGGTCAGCTCCATCCCTCACCTTCACAGCTCCTCTGCCTCTATGCCTGGTATTTATTTTAGAGGGACCTTAGTCCACGGAAGCTGTGTGTTGGTTTCACGCACGCACGCACGCACGCACGCACGCACGCACGCACGCACGCACGGCGGAGGGGGTCAGGGCTATCTAGAGGTGTGTTTAGGAAAGCCTGGGCTCCTGACCCTGTGGCCTTTCTCTTAGTCCCGGCTGAAGGACGTTCTTAGGTTTCTCTGTTGAGGAAACAACTAGGCCTTATGGACAGGAAAGAAAACACCCTGTCCAAACAGAAGCATCCTGAGGAATCGGCTGCCTGTGGGACAGATGTCAGGAGCCCTGCAAGAGAAGTACCCCATCCTATCCTTGCTCACCCCCACCCCAGGACCTCCTAGGGGCAGGTCTATGTGTGTGGCTAGCCCTCTCTGTGTGCCGGACCCCCAGCAGAAGGTTGTCACCCCCTCAGTCCTCTACAGGAAGCAGGCACACATTAAGTACTCCTCTTGAACCCTGTGGGGCAGTCACAGCCCACCCGCAGAGCGCTGAAGGAGGTTTTTTTTTTTTTTTTTTTTTTTTTTAGAAGCCTGGGCATTTTAATGGGACCTCCTACTTCTACAAACACTTCTCTGCCGCCTCCCTTTGAACTCCTCCCCCCACCCCATCTGAGTCTCCAGGTTTGGGGTCTGCACTCCAGCTCTAACAATTGTTACTCCCTGGGGGCCAGGCCTTGGGGGAGGGAAAGGGACTGTGTACCTTTAAGGGGTTGGTCTGCCGGGAGCGCGAGGTTTGTTGGAAGCAGCTTTTTTTCGGGCCACTCAAGATCCCAGATTCTTCTGCTACTTCAGACCTGGACAGCCTGTGGCTTCAGCGTGTCGCAGTGGGGTCCCAAGCATTTGAGTCGTCGAAGAGCCTCCTGGGGACGGTCCACGTGGCTTGGGTTGGCTGCGTTCCGGGGCTCTGTGCATGCAAGTTTCTCCCATCTCACCTAGGGGACCCTGCGGTTGCCGGGAAGGCTGGGGCTAGGAGACAGGGAACAGGGGGGCGGGGGCAGAGGGAACTGGAGACTGAGGGGCTCGTTTGTCACGTGATCAGCCATACAGGCTGACTTGGGTGCGACCCTTTGGGGAGCTACCAAGAGGTAAAACCGCAGCGAGCCCCGGGGATACTGTTCCAGCCATAGGTGGGCTGCAGCGGGAGCCACCAGAGATCCTGGCGGGAGGAGGGAATGGAAACTGGGAGCAACCTGCGTGGGGATGGACTGAGGATGCGTGCCTTTAGTCCACTCTGAACACTTGGGGACATTGTCCTGGCGAGCACCTGGAGCTCCTGCCCTAGGGACAGGAGTACACGGGGCAAACCCTGGGTGCAAGCTGGCCTCTCCCAGGGAGGAGACCAGGAAGGAGAGGCTCAGGCACTTGGACCCAGTCCTACCCCCAGCTCATTGGGTGGTCACCGGCTGCCTGTGATCCTGTTTGGTAAAGGGCCACCTGCGCTGACCCCAGGGAACACCTCTATCCTGTGAGAGAGGGGTGACTGCCCGAGGCACCCCCCCCCCTTCCCTCCAGCGACTTGCCGAGAGGCATGGAAATGCCGGTGGAAAACGCCCTTCTATTGCCTCGGCCAGAACCTGGCGGGTGATGGCGGCAGAATTTCAAAGGCTGATAAAGCCTGATTGTAAACGGGACATTGATGCCAAATTCCTTCCTGAACTAGCCTGGTGCATCTGGGGGGCAACCCTGCCCTCTGCTGGTGTCTAGGGGGCTAATACTTATCCATGTCTCAGTTGCCTTGCCGTGTGACTGTGGTAGAGGTGGTGGACTCTATTAATTCTAATAATAACTCTAATAATTCTATTCTCCTTGGACCCTTCTCGGCCATCGGTGCTCGGGAAAGGCAGAGGATTGGTGATCCAGGGCTTCCTCTCAATCTCAGATGTTAGCCAGAGATAAATAAAGCCTTGGGTGGTTTACTCTTCCTCAACCGTGAGGAGAAGCCCAGGGTGGCTGTTTTTCTCCTGGTTGTTGAGAAAGGAGAAAGATTGCAGTCGCAGCTGCTGACGTTCGTTTGAGGGTCTGTCTCCATCAGACAGTGCTCTGGCAGTGTAGACCCTTTTTATCAACGAAGAGATGGAGGGCCGGGCATTTGTCCAGGGACAGACTGGTTGGAAATGGAGAGTCGGAAGAGCATCCAAGCAGCCAGTCTCGGTGGTGCTGCGGTCTTAAGGGGGCTGGTGGCTGTGGTAGGATGGCTGGAACCGAGGTGCGTTAGTGACGGGGGGGGGGGGGGGGGCTTAGCCCAGGCTTCTGCTCTGTGGTTAGCCTTAGCGTTTGGGGGTCACCCTTGTCTTCAGCCTCTAAGTTTCGGTCTGCTCAGAAGGTGGAGGGCTTGTGTTCCAAGAGGCCAGATGACTTGCCCGGGGTCACCCAGAAGGTGGCGGAGCCTGGGTTCAAAGCCAGCAAGTCTAACTTGAATCGTTGGGTTTTATGAATTCTCCCCTGTCTCGTGGTTGTTGGACACGGGGCGTATCTTCTCTTGCTAACTTTCGTTTGTCCTGTCGTCCCCCTGGTGGAAGGCTACACACCTGCAGGGCTGACATCACACCCTCCACTGGCATAGTGCTAATAAAGTCGGACTTAAAGGGAGTTGGGTGTTCAGGGCAGTTGAGGTCAAAGGGGCGGGGGAGAGGCTGGTTTTGTGTTTGATGTGCAAGGGTTTTGATGATGCACGCTTGATTGGAGGGCAGAAGTCTCCCAGAGCCACCCTTTGAAGACTGTAAATCAGATTCATGCCATGCCTTTTCGGGTGATTCTTCATGCCTTCCTTCTTAAAAAGTCCAAGGGACTATGTGACAGGGCCCCTGGTCACCACATGGACATTGCTTCCTGATGCCCCTGGGGCTCCAGCCCCTTTGGCCTCCGAACTCTTTCTGCTGTTAGCTCTCTCTGCAGGGCTCTTCTCCCAGGAGTCTCAAGGCTCCCATCTTCTCAAAGGTCTTCCTGACCTAGGATCAAGGAACACCCAGGGCTCAGGTTGTGGCTCAGCTGGTAGAGAGCTTGCCCAGCATTCAAGAAAGCCCTGGGCATAGTAGCACAGACCTGTAGTCCCAGCACCTGGGAGGTGGAAGTAGGAGGATCAGAAGTTCAAGGCCACCCTCAGTAACATGACGAGTTCAAAGCCACCCTAGGCTACACAAGACCCTCTTTTGAATGTAAACAGATAAGTAAGCACCCATCTCCCTGTTCCATCTCCTCCTATCATTTACAATCACATCTGTGACTCCATCACCTTTGTTAGACGGTGAAGCCCAGGAGTACTCTGGTTTGAATCCCTGCTGCCTAGAACTCTGCCTAGCTTGTGGTGGAAACATGGGGAATATTTGTTGAGAAAATGAGGTCAGATCTCAGCTCTTCATCTCCCTGAGGGCAAGTGTAGGCATGCGTCTTTGCACTACTGAGCCCCCCCCCCCTGTTTTCTTGTCTGTACAATGCATACGATGCTTTTGACACTGGTGTGTGTGACTGTAGCCAGGAAGGTGCACAGCCAGTTGGAGGGACAGGTCCTCCTTCACATCAGCTAAAGAGAATGCTACCCCTGTCATTTCCTGGCTGGGTGGCTGTTGGGTAGTTGTGTCTCCGTATTCCTGTTCACTTGTGGATTCGATGGAAAGAAGGAAATTCTCCTTGCCAATTATGACGTGGGGGTCTCTTGGGAGGGTTGGGGGAGGTGCTAGATGTAAGAGTTTATTTAAAAACTAGCTGGGCAGCGGTGGCGCCCGCCTTTAATCCCAGCACTCGGGAGGCAGAGGCAGGCGGATCTCTGTGAGTTCGAGGCCAGCCTGGGCTACCAAGTGAGTTCCAGGAAAGGCGCAAAGCTACACAGAGAAACCCTGTCTCGAAAAACAAAACAAAACAAAAACAAAAACAAAAACAAAACAAAACAAAAAAACTCCGGGGCTCGTCTGGGGCCCAGGCTGGAGGTTGTGAGTGTTGCCAGGGTCTCTGAGGCTGGGAAAGCCAGCCTTGGGGACTCACAGTCTGTGGTGTTGGAGGGGTGTTTGTGAGCTGTGGCTCCCTTCTCCATGACTGAAGGAATGAAGAGGGGCGAGGCCAGTGTAACCGGCCAAATCACGTTGATTTGGCAGCAATTTCCCCAATACCTGAGCAGACACTCAAGTACTGATTTCTAATTGCCGAGGAGCAGTTTGTTGTGTGAATTCTGATGAAGGCTGACAGCAAGCGCCTAACGCCATTCAGCACATCCACAGGTGTACCTCACCATCCAGACTCTTGTGGGTCACTGTCCAGAGCTCAGGAAGGAAACAGATGGAGGTGTTTCAGAATCCTTGCTAAGCCAAAGTCCCAAATCAACTTTCACCATCACAGATCAAGGATACCGGGTGAGACCCATACCGTAGGATACCGTAGTGGACCCATGTGACTGGCTTAAGGGAATTCAGCACCTGAAGCCTTCTAATAAAACTAGGAATAAGATGAAGAAGTTCTGAAATACACAAACAAACTATAGAAGAGGGGGAATCCAATCTAGGGCATCGGCATGTCAGGCAAGTGGTCTATCATGGAATGACATCCCAGCCCTGGTCGTATGTCTCACTTTGGCAGACTTGGCTCTTCTCCTTCTCCCCACACACTCCCTGCTTTTTAGAGATCTATTTATTTTAAGTATATGAGTGTTTTGCCAGAAGAAGGTGTTGGATTCCCTGGAACTGGAGTTACAGGTAGCTGTAAGCCACCACGTGGGTGCTGGAAACCAAACTGGCTTCCAGCAATGTTAATGCACTCCAAGAAATTCCTTCAACAACGAGGAAGCACTTGCCCCACGGCAGGAGGACGGGCCCTCTGTCCCCGAGTCGGCAGAGAACTTGTGATACTGTGCGGTTTTTGCTTTGCTTTGTCTCTCAAGACCAGGTCTAGCGTAGTCCAGGATTGCCTGAGACTAGCTTTGTGTCATGTAGCTGAGGATGACCTTGAACACCTGATTGGAGGATCAGATGTCCTCCACCTCCCATTATAGGCATGAATCTCCATTCCTGGCCTTACTTGTTTTTAAAGACAGGCTTTCTCTGTGTAGTCCAGGCTGGCCCGGAACCCCCCCCCCTCCTCCCTCTGCCTCCCCAGGGCTGGGATTACAGAGGTAGTGCTTGTGGGTAGTTGTGAACAGGGCTGCTTTTGCTCCCTTTAGCACTGGGGTGCAGAAGTCTCATGTTTTGAGAAGTCAGCTCTATTTTCCTCTAACCTTGTAATTTTTTTAGTGTATAATTTTGCAACAATGTACATTTTTTTAAGGATACAAAGGACACCCAGGGAACACTGGTCCCAGGGAGCACCGGTCCCAGGGAGCCCCGGTCCCAGCTGAACTGATCTAAGAGGCTAGAAGCCCTTCCACCCAGAAAGGCCTCTGGGTCAGCAGTGGGGTGGCCCTGGGTCACCCAGTTCTGTCTGTATCTACAAGCGTCTGATTCTTCAGCCTGGTTTCCTCTTGGTTTCCAACTGGAGGTAACGGAAACAGCGTTTAGGGAGAGCTCTAGAGCAGGCACTCGTGAGTCTCCCACAATCTTCTCACTGCGTTTAGCATGGTGACTCCAGGCTTTGGAGCTGGAGTGGGTTCCATTTCTGACTGACACGTCCTAGCTAGATGACCTTGGGCAGTCTTTGCATTGCCTTTCTCCTTTGTATAGCAGGAATCCCGGGCTGGGGACATAGCCCAGTTGGTAGACCGCTTGCTTAGCATGCATGCCCTAGATTTATCCCCCAGCACTCCTGTGATCAAGACCAGCCTGGGGTAGAGGTGACCCTGTCTCAAAAACCCGTTAAATAAACAAACAAGGACACTAGTAACCTCACCTGGAGAGTTGTAGTGAGGACTCGGTGCGACAGTTAAGTGCTCATGAAAGTCTGTTGCTCTTGATGTCATTCTAGCAGCTGGTGTGCACTAGTTACTCTCTTGAGACAGAGACCAAATACCTGACAAGAAACAACAGGAAGAAGGCAGGGACTGGCTCACAGTGTGTGGGGATACAGTCCACCGTGGTGAGGACGACGTGCTGGTAAGGCGACTGAGCCGGTGGAACCGTGAGGTAGCCGGTCATCACCCCGGCAGGCAGGAAGTAGACAGATGTGGGAGGAACTAGGGTGGGTCTGCAGCCCATAAGGCCTCACGCTCCACAATCCCACTCCTTCCATTCTAAGGCCAGTGCAAGAGTGTCTCACCTTTTGACATTGAGATACGACATGCACAGGGCCAGAGAGAGGGCTCGGCACTCGAGAGCACTTTCTGTCCTTCCAGAGTTCCCGAGTTCAGTTCCCAGCACTCATCCTGGGTGGCTCACAACTGCCTGTAACTCCAGCTGTAGGAGATCTAACACCACCTCTGGTCTCCACGGGCAACCGCACGCATGTGGCACAACAAACCCCCAAATCTCACGGTGTTTTCAGTAAGTTTTATGATTTTGTGTTTAGACCGAATTCCACCTCCTCCTAAAACATCGCCACCAGATGGGGACCAAGTATTTATATTCATGGCCTATGAGGTTGTGTCACACTCAAACTGTAACAGCGTGACGTGAATGAGGGTCATCAACACATCGAGGCTGAGCTGTGTTCACAAATACTCATGTGTGGTGGTTGAAGTTCAAGGGTGCTTGTGCCCGGGCCATTGTTGGTAGAGGATGTCCAGGCTGGAGGGTGGCTGTGGGTTTGGCTGCTGTGGAGCCAGCAGATTGGAGAAAGAATATCAGGGCACACACCCCCCCACCCCCCCACCCCCACCCCCAGTACTCTCTGCAGGCATAGACACTGCACGGGCTGTTTTACCTGTACCTAGAATCCTATCACTGTTGGAGGAGACTGGGACCTGCTAGGGAGAAGTACACCAGGCCAGGGTTATGATCTCCACATGACAGCTGCAGACGTGGCTCAGAGTCACACAGTGAAGAGCAGTGGGCTTTTGTGTGTCGGCATCAGTACGCTAAACCAACCACAGATGGATAGTCAAGCGGAAAAAAGGTTACTATACAGAAGTCGATAAGAGTGACCTAGAGATGACTTGCAGTGTACGGGAGAATATGAAGAGGCGATATGCCAGTGTGATGCCACTTTATGTCAGAGTGTTCCTGCACAGTGGTGCCCGTGAGGGGCCTGTGAAGAGCTGTCCATGAATACTGACGGATGCCTGGAGTGGAGATGCTTCTGAACAGGGATCTTCTAGTTCTGATTAGGAGACTTTGTGGAGTCAGCAAGGCTCCGTCCTGGTGTAGCACAGTAACTAAGCTTAGACCTCAGATTTTCTGCAAATACCTCAAAGAAGACAGTGAATTCAAACTTCAGTTCCCTCTTCATCCATTCCTCTTTTCCAGCAAGGACTAACTGTTTTGGAAACAAGAATGTTCCTTCCTGAGTCTGCTCACCCTCACAGGCCAATGTTTGCTTTGCATTCTCCCCCCTCTTTTCCTTTTTCTCCCTCCCTCCATCCCTCCCTCCCTCCCTCTTCCTTTCTCTCTCTTCTCTC